GACACAGTATTCCAGCTGTGGCCTGACCAGTGTCGCATAGAGGGGGAGGATCACCCCCGTGGCCCTACTTGAGATGCACCTGTGGATGCACGATAGGGTCCGGTTAGCCCTGCCAACCGTGACCTCGCATTGTCAGCCCATGCTCATCTTGGAGTCAATGATGACTCCAAGATCCCTTTCTGCCTCCATGCTCTCAAGAAGGGAGTTTCGCATCTTATAAGTGTGCTGCTGGTTACTACTGCCCAAGTGCAGCACCCTGCACTTGTCCATATTGAAAAGCATCCTGTTTCTGTTAGCCCACCCCTGCAACCTATCCAGGACTTTCTGTAGTCTTTCCCTCCCTATTAGTGTGCCCACCTCACCCCAAATTTTGGTATCATCAGCAAATTTGAACAGGTTGTTTTTCACCCCGTTGTCCAAATCGCTGATAAAGAAATTGAGCAGTGAGGGCCCAAGGACCGAGCCCTGGGGTACTCCACTACCTACTTCCCCCCAGGTCAAATATGACCCGTCCACCACCACCCTCCAAGGTGCTGCTGGATGACACGTTCAGCACCATCATCGAGGCCAGCCAGAGCCAGCACACGCACAGTGTGGCCAGGCAGGCAAACGGGGAGAAGGGCAGCTGGACAGGGGCACAGGGGCAAGTGGGGATGGGGAGAGGGCCTTGGGGCAAGTGAGGGGACTCTAAAGGGAGGGAGGAGACTCTAGGTCTGGACCCCTGGTTCTCTCTCTGTGGGGTGTGCTTCCCAACAGTTCTGGCACCTGCCCTTCACCTAATCGTCTGCCCCTTGCACTGCCGGGTCCTACACAAACAGGCCACTGCCCTAGCAGTGGGGCCCCTGCCTCTGTGTGGGCACAGCCTGGCTGGTTGCTCCAGTGACCAAAGTGAGCCATCGCTACTCCAGGCTTGCCTTGGCCCTGGGGCTCATCTGTCCCAGGTGAACTAGGCTCTAGCCTGGCTCATACCACAACAATACTGTTAACTAGGTGACTGTCAGGTTAAATTTAACCACCCTCCCTATGCCCCCACTGCAGCCTCTCCACTCCTGGGTGCCTGCTGCCCCAAATCCTAAGCTCCGAGCCTGCACCAGAAAGTGAAAAGAACTCAGAAGTCACTGCCCAAGTCCCAGCCCCAGCCCACAGGAGGTGGAGAGCCTAGCCCTGCCTCTGATCTCCCTCCCCCTGCTCCCTCCAGCTTGTTGCAGACTGAACTCTGACAGCCTATAAGGGAAAATCTGCATTTTTCCCTTTTAAAGGGGAAAATCCATGTTTTCCCACAGGAAACAGAACACCCAGGCCTCTGATTATTAAGCATAAATAGGTGCCAAAATGCTCATGAGAATTCAGCCAAGAATATATTCATTCCACTGCCCTTTAGAGACAACAGTCTTACAAAAAAATGCCATACTGATATCAAAATATTACATGAGAAGAACCAAGTAAAAATTATTTACCTGAATTTTCAAAAAGCATGCAATTATTGCTGTTATTTTAAAATCAGGGTCAGTTTCAAACAGGACAGGTAGAGAGAGCATTGCTCTCTCTAGCCTGGGAGTTGGGACCCTGTTGGGGAACTAGGAAATTTGGGTTTGAATCCCCTTAGGCTGAGGAGGACCTACCACCCAGGTCTCCCATTTCTTCGGCAAGAGTTCTCTGATATACAAATGGCAGGAACCATCACAACTACCTTCCTCCAAACAAAGAAGCTGCTATGCTATTTGATGAAGAACCCAATCCTGCTGGTAAACAAAAAGCATACTCCCAGTGCTTCTCTCCATCTAATATCCCAATATCAATAGATCTTAGGTAGCTTTTAGGCACCTACCAGTGCTAGGCCATGGCAGTTCCATGCATGCATGCAACTGCAGGCACCTGTAGAACTTTAAGACCAATCAGGAAAACAACTATTGGAGTTTTAGGCCCTTCTAAATTTCAGCAGTCACTGAACAGAGGCTTTTTGGATCACACTTTTAATTTTAGGTGCCAACGATCTGTGCAAAGCACCTGTGTTCTTATTTGAATCTGACACATCAGGATTAAAAGCTAGTTAACTAAGAGGAAAGTGTGTGTGTGTTTGGGGGGGGGGGAAGGCAGGGAGAAAGAACAGTAGAATATTACAGGATAAAAAAAAGAAGTATTAAAGGAAAGATGAGTCCAGGATTCCACACCTGTAGTGGTGGTCTAAGCCTGTAAAATCCTTAGAGGGTGAAGTCTTCAGAGTAACTAGATAGCTGAATGAAATGTTGAATATTGAATGGGCATCAGCCATTTAAAAAGCAAATAGGATACCTGGAGTACAAAACAAGGGATGCAAAATAAAAGGTTGGTCTACATGCAAAACTCGCACCAACCTTACCATACTGCTTTCTAAAGCCACAGTGTGAACAGTTACGAGAAGAAAGCGTTTACTGATTTATTGTTGCTTTGACTAAAACAAGATATTAAGCACCTATGTAAAACTGTGCCCATGTGAGGAGGCTGTACTAATTTGAACATGTCCGTTTAGAAACCAATACCATCAACTTAATCTAACTTTGTGTTTGGACAACGTGCAGGATGCTACACCACAGCCAGTCTTCAGAATGCTCTACAGGCACTGATGCTAACAATACACCTTCGAGGCAGTCAAGCTGCGCTATCCCAAATGTGCAAATAGGGAATAAATCAACCCAATATACATTTATTTAACATAATAATAATAATGATGGAGACACTAATTACTTGCCCATTAAAGAGTTTGATGTTCCAGGCAACAGAATATTGGAAGGTTGAGCTCTAGACAGAGTGGCTGAGTTGGGATATTTCCTTTCCATGTCATAATGGTTTGACTTAACTGTAATACACAATTAAAAATAGTAAATTGCTAAATAAACATCTTCATAGTAGCATGAACTAAAGGGTGCTACAAAGACACAATTTTTAACAGCATTGCTCATAAGGAAACCAAGTTACATCTCTGACCGACCAACAGCTTATGTATTTATTATTTCAATACAAATCAACCAGAACATCAAATTTTACAGCCAAAGTCTCCTCAATATACTGTCCTACTTGCCACAGCAATTTTTTTTAATTGTCATCATTTGGATAGAAAGTACCCCATCTCATTTCCCAAAAAAGCAGTAAATGCTACCACATTTTTACTTTTGTCTACAGGTACTACCGTAAACTACTTTCAGAATAGCCTTCTTCAATGGATGACAAATTAATCCAAAATGATTCCACACAAATTGTTTAAGATGGGTGTGACAAAGTTATAGCCCATGGAGCACTATTATCTGGTCCCTGGTGCTGCCCCTGGATCTGAGTAGACCTAGAAGAATGAACACATTGTATGCAGACCGGCCCCACGTGACACAGTTTGTTCCAGGATACCCACTGTTCATTCCAGTTAGTCTAGGATTCATGGAGAATATGGCACCTATCTTAGTCACACTGAGATCCACATTACATGCAGTGCCCAGTCCAACTGGCTCAGAATCCAAACTGCAGGCAGCACCTGCTCTGGGATCCACAAGGATGATCATCTTTCAAAATTGCTTTATCTGTGGGTCCAAAGATTACCAATGAGGCTGATCTGGGATTGACAGACTCTGCTGTAACTTGGGCATGTGTTTCCAAGTGGGGTGGGTGGCTCTGGATTCTTGATTTGGTTCCCAATACACTGCTTCTGCCACACCCACTTTTTTGTCTCCTGTTGTCATCATAAGGCTTTGAAGTACTAGATCCTTGCAGCAGACTTTTCTTCCACTTGGGGCGGTCCTGGGTGATAGTATCCCATGAGTCAATGTTGAGGTTACGTTTTTTAAAGTTGAGGATATCCTTGAAGCACTTCCTCTGCCCTTCTTTTGAGCACGCACCTTGACTGAGCTGGGAGAATAAAACTTGCTTCTGGAGATGGGCATCCCGGTGTTGTGTCCAGCCTAGTGAAATTGCTGCTTGAATGATCATTACCTCAATGCTTGTGGGGCTTGCTTGTGAAAGGACGCTAATGTTGATGCATCTGTCTTCCCACTGGATTTGAAGGACCTTCCATAGGAAACTTTGATGGTACTTCTTCAGTAACTTGAGATGTCTCCTGTATGCTTGCTGTCCATGTCTCAGTTCTGTACAGTAAGGTGTGGATCACAACTGTTTGATAAACCATGAGCCTGGTTTCAGATATGATGTTGCAATTTTTGAACACCTGAATAAGCAGTTGCAGACTAAGCAGCAGCAGCACTACCAGAACGTGGTGGGGACAGCAAATGGCAATGGTTTGCTTCCTGAAAAGCCAGATATATCCTTTGACAGTGCTGTGACATAGGGAGTATAGGCTGCTGTTATAATAAGCCTGTCCAACCCTGAGCCAGTCCTCAACAGTGGAGCAGGCAGAAGTTGTTAGAATCACAATGACTGTGAAGGTGGACAAAGGTTGCAGTGGAATTAGGTCTCCAACTGTCTTGGCCTCCTTGCCATTGGATCAAGGTCCTGTTCTATCAAGAATCGTATGGAAGCTGACATGCAGCAACTTCTCCATGATAAATCATGCACAGGCATCTTCCATGAAAATGGAACCATGTCACATGCAGCACCTGCTCTAGCTGCTCAGGGACTCATGTGCTAGATCCACTGGTTGGATACATGGGCTGGAGTTTGATAGCCCTGGTTTAAACAATGATTTCAATGTTTGAACTTCTCTATCCTGTATAGCCAAAAACAAAATTGCAGTGCTTTGTTTTTGTTTTTTGAACAATAAAACACTTCCCTTGCTTAGAATATCAGCTAGCTTTTGTGCGAGTTATGTGAATGTGTTGGATCTTCACACATGAATCTAAAGTTACATTCTACTGAATCTACTAGTATCAATGAATATAGTTTTATTTACATTTAAAAATAATCTACGCTTGCCAGTTCAGCAGTACTCTCTCCCACTCTTATAGCTGAAACCATTTATTGATGAATTATCTGGAAAAAACATAATATTAAGCTCCATCAGATGACACAAAGCCAGTAAGTTTTCATAAAGGAAATCAACTTTGATTTTAACTGACACATCTAGTTTATTCCTATACTTTAATAAGAACTAATTTTATAGTTACTTTACAAAATTAAATCTTTTAATATATACATTCTGCTCCAAAAATGGACTTCAGGTTTTTTTGTACATTTCTTTTAGAAACACATAAAAACCACAGCATACTCAGCCATTCTCCTGCAGTTAAAAGGGACACAACAACTTAAAAAAAACCCGGCTTTATTTTTTGAACCCTTTATTGCAAGAAGTATCTCCTTAGATTAGTGTAACTGGAGAGTTAAAAGTTGTCACAATCCCAGTTCATTTCATGCATTAAACTGTGTTTTATGCATGGTTTTGCTATTATACCTGTTGGAATAGGTCATATACATAGCAAGGAAAAGTTTAAAAATGGGCAAAATGCGATTGTAAAATTATAAACATTGGGAAATGACAGCAGGCTGATATAACACTTAGAACTTTTGTTTTATTTTTAAAAACCAATTAAATTTAAGTTGCTTGTGTCCCTTTAATATCTTGCCATACATTTTTGTAAATAATTTTACAGAGTTTACTCTTAATTTTACTTTCTGATAGATGTCAGCTTAGGTGACAATATATGTTCACTTAAGTTAATTCAAAAGAATACCAAGGTAAAAAAAAAAAAACTAGTTCATCTGCAGGAATAGAATAGTTTAAAGCTTCTTTAACATTCTAGATAATGCATACATTCATGTAACAGGCAGCTGTACCAAATTTTTTGTATAAAAAAAATTACATTCAGAGAAACAAATGTTAATACTCCCTCCTTACTTAGAAGAGACCATGGATACCATTTTTTTCAAAACCAGGTGTCATCAAGAGTGGTGAAAAGTGGGCAGCCACATGAATCAAGTCTCATTTAAGTCCAAGGGTTTACCTGGAACAACTGTATCAGCAATTTGCTGCAAGGATTTTTACTGATCATATGGCTGAATATGTGCTAGAGTTTAATACAAAGCAATGAGACCTACAGTTTTTAAATCCATAGAGATCATTTAATAATACAATTGATTCGGCTTCTTACTAGTCTCCATTCCTATGCATTACCGCAACTTCAGTCTTGCCAGTTTAAATTAAGGTCATCCGACGAGGCACTTTGAAGTGATCTTAAAAGGGTGTCGCTACAAAATTTGGTAACATAAAAGACGTCAACCAAATATACTATGGGGCTCCCCACCTCCATAAAGACAGGACTCTTCAGCCTAAGCATGGGTAGGGTGGAGAAAGGGGTGCCAGTAGGAGGATGATATTTGGACTTCTTGCACAGGGTCAGTGTATATATTATGATATGGTTTAAAGAGATTCTTTACATAGCAACATGAGGAGAGGATCCACAATACCCAACTGGCACACAAGACCAGAATGAGTAAGAGCACCCCAACAAGGAAGCAAAAATGCCTGAATCAGAAGCAACATTAGAGGGGACATTAGTGGACATTAGTGCCCACAGACCGGAAGTTAACTCCCAGAACTGCAGCCACCACATTCAACTTAGCCCAAGAGAGTGCACACCTACTTCTCAGCCAATATTCTAAACATCAACAAAACAGGTGGAAAAGTTTACAGGTATGCAATTCAAATTGTGATGCTTAAATTCCCTGCATGTACCAGAACTAAGTTTACATTAGGACAATACTAAGCTGCATAGCATTGGAAAAGAAGGCATCCTGAATGGCTGAAGTGGAACAGTAGTGATTTACTGATTGGTTATTAGCATTTTGGAGTTTACATACTATACAGTAAACTCTTGCCTGTAACAACTTTAGCTCACCAGTTTAAGTCTGTTTTAACAAGTCCAGAAAATTTAAAAGTGATTAGTTTAGACAAACTGATGCATGTTCTGCTTTCATGTCCTTTTAGCCGGCTTTGCTGTCAACTGTTTCTCTCTTTCAAATTCCCTCTCACGTTGCTGTTCTCGTTCCAGTTCCTCCTTTTGCCTCTTTTGCTGAAGTTTAAGTGCTCTCTTCTACACCAAAAAAAGCACCAAAAATCAATTAGAAAGCTCCATGATTTGAGGACTGCAACTTAAATGAGGCAAATTATCCACGTATCAACGGTTGAAATCCTGCTG